AAAAAAAAAACTTTGAACTTAAGTTGGCTTGCTCGTTTCTAAATACGAGCTACATATCTTTACTGTTAACAGTTTTATTGCAATTTTTGGTCATGCCTTCATGACAACATGAGCATTGTCACTGTCTAAAATAAAACCGATTTATCCGGTTTTTTCTTAATTTCAAAACTGGGAACCAGTTTTTTTCAAATGGCAATTTCTCGAATAACTCGAAAATCGGGTTTTGAAAAATAAAAACGAATAATCGAACACTCTAGTGCTTACCTATTTTCCCAGTGGCTCGAAAATTTTATACTTCATCGATTCTATGTCAGAAGTATAGGTTTAATATTAGTCCCACCACCCAACTCAAGAATCTCGCATTCATTGATGAAAATTAAAAAATTCAGGAATCCCTTGAGTCAACAAGATGCACATTTCTAACGTGGGATCTTGTACAGATTTTCCAAAAGAACTTGTAAAATTGAGCAAGCGCATATTTTCGATGAATAAATCTTACATAGGATGTTATATGATTTACGAGTTCTCAAGTGTCTTACAATCTAGCATTTAAAAGCCTTTCTGTACAGTAATTTAATTTTCAAAGCAACTTTATTTCACTTAATACAAGCGATTGCACCTTGAATTATGCTACATTTCCTCCTCGAATGCAAAGTATGCAAACAAGTTTATAATAATAAATTTGCTTAGACTGCCTGACTTGACTGACTGCCTAGCTACATAGCTTTCACTTGCAATACACTACGCTAATTACCTCAGCTCTGTACTTGCTATACACACCACCATGCGCACACTTCCATCGTGTGCTTTCACTCTAAAATTGTATAGTCGCACTTCACCTTCAATTTAATTATTTTACACTTTCCGCTCTGTCGCAGCGCGTCAAAACGCCAACACAGGATGCAACAGTCAAACAAATTTATACGCTTCCGTTTTTCTTCTGTCCGGGAGTTTTTGCTATGTATTGTGTTTTGTGTTTAAGCTCACCGTTGACGATGTTGATATGTTGCCGGTTGTTGTGGTGAAGGTGTATTAGGTAAAAATTAGATTTCCACTGACGCTTTTATTATGCAGGAATGTATGTTATGGTATTTGTGTGGTTGGTGAATGTGGTGGTGCTGCAGTGGGTTAGTGGGGTTAACTTGTTCTTGAGTACGTGCAATTCAACGCTGCACGCATTGTATGCAAGTCGCTGTTGTTGTTTTCGGTTTTTTAGAGCTTTTTTTTATTTTTTGCAATTTATTTACTGCGGTCTAGCGTACAAATTTAGCACACATGTACATAGTCCTTCTGCCTGTATTCTCCCTTCTCTTTGTGGCTAAACTTGAGCATTGAATTGTGTACTATTTTTAGGCTGTCAGCCGAGGTTTGGTTGAGTGCTCTAGCAACTGTATGCTTTAGCATACTTCTAGGTGCACAGGCCTACGTTAGCAGTGTGTGTGAGCGCGCTTTTAAGCATGTATTTGTAGCTAGCGGATCTGAAGGCAGTTGCATCGTTAACAGGCATACACGTGTTTGGCATTAGGATTGACAGTGGCGTGGAAGCATTTCATTTTGTATTGCTGATTTTTGGACTGCATCACTCCCCATACAAAAAAAAATCGGTACTATTTTTCCACTGGAATTATAAAATTTATTGTATTTTAAGACTTGCGCCAAAATATCTCGGAAAAAGATTTGTACGTGAGCTAGACCGATTTGAAAGTACCTCCAAAAATTTAGTTTTTTATTAATAACAACATTTTTTGAGAATTTTTTGAAAAAAATCACCTCAGATGACCAAACAGTTTTAGCTTAAAAAAT